AATCCATTTACCTCTGAATGTGTTTTGATAGTATAGCATCAGTAGGTATAGGTCCCGTTACATGAACTATTTTTATTTGGACTCTGTGTTAGACTATCATAAATATCATTCGTATGATTCTTATAAAAAACTATACTCCTACAACTATCTTTTTATAAAAATAAAAAGATAAAAAAAATATTTTTTACCTACAAAAAAACATTACATTTTTTTTTGACACCAAAATAAATACACCGAAAAGGTATCAAGTTATAATCAATAAATTATGTTACTTATAAATTCACTAATATTATTTTTTAGAGTAATAAGAAAACAGTGGAGTATGTAGAATTTTGTGTGTTTATTTTTTAGCTGAAAATTTAATACAAATTCAAATTAAAAATTTTTCCGCCAATAAATATGTATATATATTATAATTATACGTAGAAGTAGAACGTTAATTTTTGGTTTTTTAATAAATTTTATTGTTTTATACTTTTTACGTTTTTATGGCATACCTGGCATAGGAGTAAAGTATACTATGGTTATCACTGCAGCAAGCATCCCTAGAACTATTCCAATTCGGAAATACACATTTCTTACTTCGTACATTTTATCTTTGCCGTTTTCCATATAGGCAATCAAAATTTTGTACGGCAGAAACATCACATCGTTTTTTAAGGGTAACTAGTTTTTTACCGAAAGTGAAAACAAACAACGATGTTTTTGTTGTCGAGACGCGACTGAATTCACGTGTGTTCTGTAATTATTAAAAGTTTACAGCTTACCCCCACCTTTAAAATTAACAGTGAAAGTACACGAACAGGTATATACACAGGTAGTATTGTAACTACTTCCAATGCCGAAGTCAAGACAATAAGCAAAAGCAACTGCAATTGAAAACAATTTTTTTCATAGCATAAAAAATTATGGTTTCATAATAAACGTTGTTGAAAATTATTATGTTGACCTAACAACGTAAAGAAGTCAATATTAGGAAGCGAGTTAAACAAGGATGTACTTTACCTCCGCTACTTTTCAATTTTTATATAGAAAACGCGTTGAATATTATTAAAGACGGGGCAGTCTTAGGATTAGACATATAGGAACAAGGATTAGCATAACACAGCACTATTAACATCTAGCAAAGTGCAGTTACAGTTATCTTTAAGCAATACGAAAGCAGAATAATATTGATATATAAGGGATGCAAAAGTAGAGTTAGAATTAAAAATAAACGAGAAGTTTGTTCATTTTCAACTTTAAATAGTCAAATAAGTGAGGATGAAAACAGCGCTAGAGATATAAAAGAAAAACTAGCGCAGGGTAGTTTTAACAAAAATAAATCACTTTTGTGCTAACGATTGGCTAATTTGAAAATTCAAAACGATTATTAAATTTGTATGTTGTTTGTTGTCAGTTTCAAAAGTTTTCATTATGTACACAATACCATTCATCAAACATTGGTTACATCAAGCGATGGTTTCGTTTCAGCAATCAACAATGATCAAGATGAATTTAATTTAAAATTCCACCCCCTCTCTTATCAGTTAAATTAGATATCTATTTTGTGTTTTCTTTAAATTTTACATTATAAATAAGTCTCATCAAATATAAATCAATCCTGTTTATGGAGTGGCCTGCGCTATCACAACTGACCCACGATAGATCTTTCATTAGCATCCAAACCGTATCAACACGTAGGTTGATTGATGCGCTAATGAGATGTCAAACTGCAGTTACAACATAAAATATGTTCTGATTAGAGATAAAAGATTCATATTTGAAAGGTTTTTTTTATTAAATTTTTACATTAATGCATGCAAGGTATTGCTTGTTTTTGTTTACATGTTGACTAAAAAATGACCTGCTAGAATAATTCCACCTTATCCAAATTGTTACAATATTCTTCTGAAATATCTGATGTTTTTAATTAACTATTCCACTTTTGGCGGGAATAACTTTACATGCAATAAGGTCTCAAAAATCACAAAATCTGCTTGAGTTACATGTTACAGAGACCAGTTACCATTAGCGAGACACTTCAATGTGAATGTTTGTATTTTAAGGACCGGTCGAGAGTTTAGTTCTCTTCAATCCACCTACAGCCCTGACACTGGAAGCTGGCGGAAATTTTAAGAAGGCAAGAATGCGCGGTGGCAAAAGTAGGCAGTTTTAAGTATAAAGATTGCAGCCCTCATTCTTCAGTATTCCTATCAGGGGCGTAGATTAAATATTTAAAAATAGGGATCAGTGAGCAAGTAACAGACAGACAAACAGACGAACTAATTGTTGATGTTGGTGACATTGATAGAGATTCCCATGATGAAAGTGAATGTGAAAACTAACTATAAAACAAAAGCAATAGGTTAATTTTTTCTTTTTGATAAGTCATGTTTTTACATTATTTTCTAGTACGCTACTGTTCTATCTGTATTAATACTATAATTTACGCCTACTGAAAGCTTATTAGTGTATCGGTTCCAAGTGACTTACCCAAATAGGTCATAAATGGGCAAGTACCTGCGTGACCGCTCGCCAGCTTCCTTCGTCAGAGCTGTACTTCTTACGTTCACAAAAATCATTATTTTCAAATTCGCTGTTTCGATATCGTGGATAAAATACAATGGTTTTAATGTTCCTTCCTATATATTAGTAAAAAAAATAATTATAAGTTTTCTTAAATTAAACTACAACCAAAAGTCTTATTTATTTCGAAAATAATCTAAAGATATATTTAAATGTAAATCTCTGCATTCAAAAATGCGAAAAACTAACACTTTTTCTGGGTTCATTAATACAGAAAGGTAAATAAAATATAAGTGCATATTTTACCAGAAGCTCTTACAAATGTCTAGAGGTAAAAAGCCGAATAATATAATTTTTCACCAATTTAATATCAGAGTTAGTTGTAGCGTTTTAATTTGTGAAGTTCTCAGAATAACTTCTGGTAAACTAATTGTCATATCAGTGACATTAGTGTTACTAATTTGTACAAAGACTATTTAACGAAAAAAGTACATATTTGTCTTTGTTTCGCTTCAAGATTTCTCGTCGAAAAACAGAAAACTATAGTTTTTGTATCGAAGTTTATTTGCCTTCATTAGTTGAATCTTGTTGTTCTTTTGCCCAAAATAATGATATTACATTATTCTGCAAACCTATATATCTATACATATAAAACGAAAGTTGAAGTGTGTGACTGTAACATCGAAGTACTTGCTTCTTCATTAAGCTCGTATAGTTATTTGTGTACTTGTGACGAAAACGACCCCGTCTATACGGGGTAATCTTCCAAACGGCTAAACCGATTTGAATAGACTTTTACAGACATCTAGAGGAGGTTGTCAGAAGCTGCTTCTTTAACTTATTTATTAGTTACAAAAATTGTATTTATTATAATAAATTAGAAATGGTTAGATGCGAACAAGTCGTAAGTAACAATTACATTATAAATTTTTTGAAATATTGAAACTCTTCCTAATTGTATATAACATAACAATAATTAAAAATTAATTACATACTTTTTATCATCAATTTTTTAAACGTAGATTTGTCATCGTAACTGGCTATTTTCATTTGGTATACACAGCAATATTTTTAAATTACATACATCCCACAACAATCTTATTGTGTTTACTATAACAATGTAAACGTAAAGTTCTTTTATTTTTACTATGACTGCTTTTGATCTGTTAATTTCATTGTACAATTCAATTTGATGTAGCTTTTCTAATCTAAAAGAGCAATAATTCCTTATGGTAAACATTGGGAAATGTTTTCGTTTCATCATCGACCGACCTTCATGTTTGCTTCGTCAAATACTTCGCTTTGTTAGTGATAGAACGTGTTACAATTTTAATTTTTTCAATGCAATACATGATTAAATGGTAAACAAATATTTTCTTTTCTTTGAATTATTACCTTCCCTATACTAATTGTGCTGTTCTTATTGTATATTATTGTTTCTAGTTCTTAATAATTGCTTTAAACAAAATATATATATAGAAAACTATTTAAAATGGCAGACTTTATCCCCATTGATCAAAAGTAAGGGCGTAAGGTGACTGTCTAAATCTAGATGAGGAACGGTCGCTCGAACGGGGGCGAGGGTGATGGGAGTAGGGAGAAGGAGAGAAGTACCCATTTACAAAAAGTAGTGAAGGCGGTGAAGTGGAGACGGGAGAAGTTGACCGACTATTTCATCTAGACGTTCACTATTTTCATTTTTAGACTACACTTCCCACGCTTCCTTTCCACCACCCCCACTTTATAATAAGGATGATGTTGCAACTCCAATTTGTAGTGGAATTGTTTAAAGAAAAAACCAAGTGGCAAAACTACTAACAGTTTAATTCTTGTTAAAAGGTGTACAAAAAGAACTTACATGGGTCGAGTTGAGTGTTGAGTATTAGTTACATACTAGTCAAAAAACTAACTAACTATCATTCTTTCGAAAATGTCTTTTATAATAAAGTTTGGTTCTGCTTCATAAAAATATTGGTAATGCATCGATTAAAATAAATGGTTTAGGAGAACTGTTTCATATAACAGTATGGTCTCGCTATGCAAAACGTTATTGGTCATACATTGATTAATATGAATGTTGCATAGACAATTAATTAGATAAATGATATTACAAACGCAATACAGGCTAAAAGTTAATACACATACAGAGCGTTGAAAATACATATAAGCAGGGTGGAACCTAACAATGAAGTCCTTGAACCTCCTCTTACTCCCTCCACCTCCATCATCCCCGTTTGAGTAATGGTCCCGCCATCTAGACAATTACCCAAATAGTAATATTACCACTTTGCGTTGTCATTTTTACGAAATTTAGAGTGTCTTGGATTATATATGTATTTTGATATCTACAGTGGTGCGTGGTTTTCATGTAAAAAACAGAAATTGAACGTCCCTGGTAAACAAGTAGTTCATTTATAACGCAGAAATTTTTTCGAAATCGTAACTCCTCAAACAGCCATGAACTTCAATTTTTAACATTTTCTTACTCTGCATTACATTCTATCACGAAAATAAAAATTTACAAATCACAGAATTTACTATTCAGCAAGTTTGACATTTTATTTCCGCTTCATTTGATGAAAATATTTATATTTGTGTATACATTTGAATACATTGTACTTTAAAAACATACTTATTTCCTACGTAGTATTTTAAACGTAAATATGTACACGGTGGAGAAATTTCGACGTTTATATTACATTCAATTGACGTTATATTGTTAATTATTATTAGATACCACATTTTTGTTACAGTATGACTCTCATGATCGCTTGAGTTTTCTTTTATTTTCGCAAAAATAAGTTTGTAAAATTGCCCTTCTTTCTGGATAACTATTGAAATATTTTTGTTACCACACCAGAATTGTTATCACTTTAAATAAAACATTTCAAGATGTCCTATTTTTTGTAATTTTTCGTTAGCCATTTTACAGTAGTTAATTAGTAAAACTGAAACTAATACCGACTTTAAAATGACCAACGGGTGATCACTACCATAATGACAAACGCCTACTAGAAACCAATGTAAAAAATGCAAGGGGTAAACTGTCAAAAGATTATTTTCGTAATTCAATGCTTACCTATCTAATGCAACCCCATATATTATATCTAAAAAAAATACAAGTTTATGTCATAACTTAAAAAAGGGGATGATTTCCTTTTAATTTTTCTGACACCACTGTATTCATTGTAAAAAAAGTGCTTGAAGAACGTAAAAGTTGTTTTTTTTATCTAATATTACAAACAACCAAGATATGGACATGTAACTAAAACTCAAAATTTTCAGCATTCAATAACAAAAGACGATAGCAAGTTTTTGAAAACACCAATAAATTTGTCTCAAAGAAAGAGATCAAGAAGCCGACATTAATTTTTGTGTCTCTTATAATTATCGAATTGTCCTATACAAGTGTCAAAATTTGCCCACCCTGTACAATTAGTTTAATGAGATTAAGAAGCAAAAATTGTTGATTCGAACAAGGATCCGTAGACAACCATCGTTCTGTCCAACTTCAACAACCTAAAAATTACCGTGTACTATCCACTGTCACTTTACATTAAACAAATACTCCATTTTCACAAACGAATGATGATAAACGGTTAGTCCTCCGATCTACTCATTAGCGCAAAAGTGTAAAGCCGGAGGGTAAAGCGGAAAGTCCCCTTCAGCCTCTATTAAGAATCGTGGATGGAAATAGAAGATTGAATATTACTATGCCCCATTTTTGCATGTACGATCGAAAGAAATCACATAAATTTTTAGACGAGGGTAGACAAAGACAAAGCCGGAATCGAATCCATTTCATCCAGAATGTTACTCTATGATCTGGACCGAAGCCACAGACTAGAACTTGGAATTCATAACTCAATTAGTGTGAAAAAGATATTTGAAATTTATATATTTAAATACTCAAATATCCAAATATTTGAATATTCAAAATTTCAAATATACAAATGTAGTATCGGGAATGCGTGCTTTTTAGTTTATGGTAGGCTTAAAGTAATTTAGGAATAGTTTGTAATTTTAAGGGNTGAATATTCAATTATTTGATTTATTGAATATTAGATTATTTGGATTATATACTTGAATTTTTACAAAGATTCAAATATCCGATAATTTATCTGACATTTAAATTTATTTCCATCTTAAGATTTTATTATCTTTGGATTACAAAATTTTTCTATTTTTCTCACAGCATTTTGCAAAAACACGATAAATTGTAAAATATGAAGTTTCTTCTTCTGGTGAGTTATGACTTTGATATACTGCTTTCAGGCAAGATTTTCGAATTCTGTCAGAAAGGCAAATATCTATAACTAAAGGGTAGGATGCTCGTTATATATACGCAGTCTAGAAATTCATATGTGTAACTCATAATTTACATTTCCTTCATTTTTTATTATAGATATCCATTATTAGATTGTTAATAGTCTTTTAAAATATGCATCAGTATCGATTGCTTGCGGCATTCATTAAAAGGAAGTGAAGAAAATTATTGCAAAAAACTTGTAATCGCAATAAGTAAGTCATGAACAAAATTTTCAAGGTTTTCTGAAGTAACTACCTCCTTTCGATTTTTCTAATTCAACGATATTTTAAACGTACTCAATGTTATATAGAAGCTTAAAAAAACGCTTCGTATTTAAATGAGTATTTATTTACATTTAAATTAATTAACATAGTTTGTAATTTATATTAGGTACATACATATATTAAACCCGTCGTTCTTACTATCATTTTCTCTCTCGTAGTCCATTAAAATTCGAAAGTTTACGAACGATTGATAAGATTGTGGTTGAAAGTTAACTTGCACATCGATTTTCGTGAAAAGAGTTGTAAAAAAATGAACTCCCCTAAGAAAACCAATCGAAACTGGCAAGATTGACTGCACTTTTATCTAAATATTTCCAGTCTCGTACAAAGAGCTTTACACATCCGAAACTTTGTGCCTTCTTTTTAGCAAACTTTTCCTAGCAGATATAGCTCTCAAACTGGCCTCTCCGTATTGACTGCCGATGGTTTCCATTCCTGCTGATAAACTTCTAACTTCCTTTGTTTGTTCAGGTTCTAAAATAAAATATTGCTATATCTTAAAAACAATATAACCGAAGAAGAGTTGCAATTTTTCGTAAAATATAAAGAGAATATAAACCATTTTTTATTTCTTCATATTCATCTTCGATTTTATTTTCTGTTGTTGAGGTGTTAGCAAATGATGAAATACGTTCGATTACTTGCGTTAAGTGTTCTTCGAATTTCGAAAAATCTTTAATTTCTTCAAAGCTTATATGTATTGTTCGCAATTTATCTTTTTCTGATTTGTACAAAACCGTTCGGAGTAAATAACACAATGATGCATCAGTAGTATCTTCCCAACTCTAAAACATGGTCGTTTAAGTAACAATCGCATGTTAAAACTATTGATCTTATTGGGATCCGTCAAATAGCAGGAGCCTAAAAACATGGCGCCGATTAGGGAAAATTTATCGTAGTTCCTATAGTGTACCGTGCAAATTCCAAGTCTTTAAATTACGATAAAATGATAAGTATTGACACAATATGTGATTGGGCTGACACAGCCTCGGAAAGGAAATCTCGTTGAAGGTGAGCGTGTTTTTAATGCCAATCACATTATAAAATTCGGAAATAACAAATCCGGAAGCTAGCCTTCAAATTCCGTCAAGTTTACTGCCTACTTTTTACAAACTTCGGATTTAAAAAGTGATTCAC